TTGTATAAATATGATAATATTCCGTTTGAGTGGTTCTAACGTTTACCATGAAATTTACGCTCCGGCGGGCGGCCTTTTTAACCGACTTCAAAAAAAGGAGGAGGTTCTCAATTCGTCTGTATGTTTTTTTGTATGTATGTTACGCGATAACTCCGCCATTTGTGAACCAATTTTGATGATTCTTTTTTGTTGGAAAGAAGGTACCTCAGATGTGGTCCCATTTGAATTTCAAGAAAATATTCCACCTCTAAGGGTGGCAAAGTAAAGGATGAATGACTTTTGAGGCCGGCTTTTTTAACCAGGGGTTAGGTTATATAGTCTCGACTCCGCTACGCGCGCGCGCCTTCCGCCCGCCGTGGGCTGTGCGCGGCTCGCGCCGGCGTCGGTCGCGGAACTTTCCACGACGCACGATCGGCCGGCGCGGCGGCGAGTCGCGCCCGGTGCGACGCGTCTCAAGGTTTTTACAATGACTTTTTGGCTTGTTTTGAAGATTGCGTTCAGATTATAAAGTATAATTTTCCCTGCATTTACCAATTTTAATGCTGACGCTTCCTCCGTAGCACCTAAATCATAAAATTACTGGGATGTTGAGCACAATTTTGCATTGTAACGGTCGGATACGCGCTTTGTTGGGAAAACAGAAATTATGGATCCTTCGGTGTACGGGGACTGGAAAGTTATAAATTGCGGATATTTGTTTGAGTAGAGGCTGCATTAACCCTAGGCCTAGACAAAGAACATAACTGGATGCGTCGTCATGTGTGTATATTTCGAAGAAGTTCAAGTACCTGCTTCTAGTGGTTTTACAACGACTTAAAGCTTTTTACATTATTTCGTAGGTTTAGCGCCAATACTCGTGTTTACAATTTTTTGCAAGTGAATTGCTAAATTGAACGGAATGTCATGAGATAGCGCATATTAATATTACAAATTAGAGTAGCTCTATAAGTATTATCACGTATATTTCCTATACGACCTCCTTTATTCGTCGAAGAGACATATATCTTATCGGAGATGTTGGGCATTACAGTACAAATTGGACAGAAGTGAAGTAACACGACAGGGCTAACACAAACTAATCAAAAGTGCCAGGAAATTGAGAACCCTCCCAGGCGAAGCACAAAGCGTCCTCTTTTCGACACCCCATTTACACTTGACATTCTCATTTCGTCCCATTACTCTGACACCCATATTGTTATATTCACCGAATATCGTTTCACGCAACCTTTTTAGATAATGTAACGCAATTAGATATTGAGAGACACACACACAGGCACATTTAGCGGAACAGAGAAAAGTGAGAATATGTATAAATTAATTAAATTAACGTCTAACTTCAATTTTTTATTTTCAATTTAATCTTGCTCAACTCAAACCTTACCCAACTTTCAATGAAAAAAAAACGAAATCAAATGCATTTTATACATTTTGTGTCAAAACAGAAACAGATGAAAATTTAAGAGCCGTAACAGCTTAACATTGATAAAACCAAATTTAAATAAATAAAAAACTTCTTTTTCAACTCAAGTTTAAAAAATCACAAGAAAGCTAAATCCACTTCGAACTCGATAAGTATGTTGTCAAAGACGTAAAATGTGTATGTGGCAACACAGAGCTTCGTCTTTCTCTTCCCTTCAAACTGTGCTATATTTACAAAAATAAATTATTAATACGTTAAAACTTATCGTTTTCATATTTTGATTACATAAACAGTGACTTTATACATGTTATGTATTAGTTCAAATTTAAAACAAATGAATGAACGAAATGACAATTGACTGTTTTTTATTTCCAAATTATACCTAAAATAGAAAGTAAAATAAACAACCAGATTTTTTAAAAAGCACTGTATTATTTTGGGGTTACAATATAATATTACAATAGTATACCGTTTACTGCAACCCTGGTATGTACAGTGGTACAGGGCGTAGCAAATTGTACTTAAATCTAGTATGCATTTTACGAGTGTTTTGCTAAATCTGCCAGTTTGTGTATGACTTGTTGTGAATACAATCCAGATTCAATTTCCTGTGTAAACTATATTTGAAAAACATTGACCTTAAGTTATTAGTTACATTGTGTCTACTGTAAAGTTCAACACTATGGTTCCCAAGATGTAAATAATACCTGCAGTGGACCTCGGACACTTCACGCAGCAGGCAGACGATGTTGATTAATTTTACAAAGCCTTGTCGTTTTAATCAAAAGTTTTATAACAGTGAAAATATAAATACCTTCGAGCTTCTTATATTTGTCTTCTGAAAGTTCAAAGATTGTACCTGCGACAAATCGTCGCCTTACTTTCCCAAACTCGTATCTTAAAACACAAAGTTACTGAAATGCAAGAAATGGATTGTATATACAAATGTTGTAATGTTGTAAAAATGTACATCACATTTCCTTCACATTCACATACTGGCTTTTACCTATTCTTAAAGTGGTGCATCCAAATTACCATCCTTGAAAAGAAACTTAAAACAAATAGAAAGTTTGGCCGGGATAATCCTGGATAATCAATCTTTATAAGACACGAGTTTGAGAAAGTAAGGCATCGAAATGTTTCCTTGTTATATGCAAATTCCTATGTTAAATAAAGGTCCATCAAACCTTGAGGTTAAGTATTATATCTTACAGACATATAGACTTGTTTATTACCTTGGATATGTTATTTTAATATATATTTTTATAATTAAAGGCCGGCAGGTAATTAGTTTTTTTTTCAGCCAGACATAAACTAATACTGACTGCTCCTGTTAATTATGAACCATAATATGAAAAAGTCTAAGCAACCTTAAGGTAGGTTACATATAAATCTAAAATAAATTAACAATTCCGCAAATATAATAGACTAGAGTCGTTATATGACTTGATTTGATAATGAAACAGAATTGCCTTAACTTCAGAAATAAATATTAACTTACCAAAAATACTTGTTATTGTATAAAAACGTTTTTACCACACTATAGGAATCAGCTTAATTTATATTTTGGTTATAGATTTACTTTTTAACCCTCAATTTTAATGACAATAACTAATACCGTTAGGACCGCGACGGCGACATTTCGTGTGAGCTTCAAACTATCCGATTAAAAATTTTATATGAATTCGGAAGTCTTTTTGCCTACATCTAATTTCTCTCGTGAGTATGAGTGTATTTCAGTGGAGGCCAAATCCCACATGTCAGTGATCTCGTGCACCAGGTCGAGATACTTCCGGCGTTTCTCGATTTCGGCTTTCACGAGACCCTCGTCATGCGGGATGGTAACGTCCACAAGAAATATCCTGGACTGCGATCGATCCAATATCACAATACGAGGCTTATTCGCAAGAATAGTTCTGTTCGTGATAATAGATCGATCCTAACAGATTTTGGTGCGGTCATCTTCGAGTATTGGCTCCGGCGAATACTTGTATTTTGGCTGCCTGCTTGTGTCTGTGCAAGTACTCAGTGTTATTATTATTATTATTAATAAATCTGGAAAAATAGTTTCATTTCCTACGTTTAACAATCGCGAAAACCTAAGAACTCGATAAGAATTTTTATGTGAATTTGTATACTTTTGAAACATTATTCTTAAGTAAATTTTGATATGTCTTAGGAGTTCGTATGTTATCCCATGTAATAATATTTCCTTATGATGGAATGAATTGTTTAACAAAACCAAAGTTTATGAAGTGTATATATATAAGGTTGCTTTTAAATGTTTAATAAGTTATTTACAATAAAAATAGCTAACAGTGTTCGGTAAATTGAATTGGAAAAGTACGTCAGCAAGATTCTTTTGCAACTTTCAGCATTTCGTTCGGTGGTTTAATAAATAACGCACCGATTCACATTTTTTATTTAAGTTTCGAAGCTTTTATTACTACCCAACTAAAGTTTAAGGAGTAGTTACAATGGTCAGTATCGAATTTATATTAACTATATTCATGAATATATAAAACTGCAAAACTTTTTAAATTTTGTTTTTCGTTGAATTGCTTTGAATAGTACATATATGAAAATATTCTGAAATAGTTCTATTCCATTTTAAGGATTATAACTTTTCAATCATTAGTAACAGAGTTCACTTTGATGTACAAATTTCACGAATCTGAATTACGTCAATACTGTTCACTAAAATTAATGGCCATAAATTCGCCGCCAATTTAAAACTTTAAGAACATTTTGGGGTTGTGTTCAATATACGTATTTGTCCTTTTCAATAGTTTTTGTATTATTCGCACGAAGGCTTAAACATTATTCATTTAAAAGGATTGCTCGCTTGCTTAATTTGAGAAACACATGAAAAGATAATTTTCCTGTGTAATAAGAAAAATTGAAAAAGAGGGTAATTTCTCATTCGTGACAGTCTATTAAAAGTCGCCCTAAGGTAATGAAATAACCAATAAAAAGAAAGCCTCGTGAAAACCGCTAAAATCACTCAAAAACTACGCTGTTGTAATCTGTTAGTGGAATCGGCCTTTAAAGAAAAGTTAGGTATGTAATCACTCGTTCATATTCTGATCACTATTTTTCACATAAACGATATTGACAGATTCCAAGCATAGCGTTAATTTCGCTATTCAAAATAAACATTAAAAAATTGTCCCGTTACATTAGTGATGCCCGGTAAATACTGACAAAATAATTAATCTCAGTAGATACGCCTTCAACAAAACGCGGAGGGAGTTGAGAGAATTTGAAAAGGGCTAGGATCGAAGTGCCAATGATTGAGGACACTTTGAAAGGCTATATGGCTATAAGGCTATATATATATATATATATGGCTAAGGACTATAAAACAAATTTCTATTAATTAATTATTGAAAATGAAACTATGTTTTCCGCTGCTGATTTTGAGCAAACAAATATTTAGATCGGGAAAAATAGTTTAATTTTGAATGTGCAGCAATCGCGGAAACCGAAGAACTCGATGTATGGATTGATTAATTTATACGCACACGTAGATAATTGTCAAAACGTACACAAGCCTCAATCACGTCTATAATTTACTTACCGAAATATTCCCAGCAACCTTAGAAATAACAGGCACGGATTCCTTCTTGACCGACGCCACCAGCACCAACGGAATGAAGATGAGCATCGCAGCGATCCAAAGCACGGCGAGCAGCATGACGGCCTGGCGTCTTCCGGGAGGACGCAGACGAGGCTCCGGTGAGATGGAGAGCCAGCGGTCTACTGACATCGTCGTCAGCGTGAACACACTGGCCGCTACTGCTACTCCTGCGGATTACAAAAATAACATACAATCGCTCGCGTCACTCTCCACATACATTACGTACGCGTCTATTTCTTTTATATTGTTAGATAGATTAGACGTAGTTACTATTTAATCATAATATACTTCTATTACATGTTTACAATTATGTCATGCGGTGTGCCGATAATTAACTGTTCATTTAGCCTTAACCAATGTCATGTACTTTCCTAGTTGTAGTTTTGGTGTACTCAGTTCTTGGCGAACTAATAAAAAAATACAATTTAACGCTACCCATAGACGGTTAGAAGAAGCAGTGCGTAAGTTCAGTTGCAAGTTCAGAACGAAGTCCTTGTAACGAAGTTATTTTAATGAAATTTCGAAGAGCGACATACAGCTCTCACGGGGGAGGTTCGCTAATAAAACATCTTAAGCGAATGAAAGATTCTCGAAGTCGTAAATGTTACACATTGTGTTTTAAAGTTAGCACTGTTTTATATTACAAAATAAGTGTTTTATTGCGGAAAAAGATTCGTTTATTCATATCATATCCCATGAAATGCAGCAACTACCAATGTACGGTACGAGTACATTCCAAAAAATGTCCGCAATGTTTGAAGTCAAATAATAATAACTATAAACTCATTTATCAATCAGTCCTAACTGGTATTGCCAGCCTGTTCAGTGTTCGTGTAACAAAAAGTCTTGGACACTATTGTAACAGGGAAGTTCAAAGGTCCCGAATACACATAATGAGATTATGAAACTGGAGATTAGCACTAGGGTACAAAAAGAGTAAGCGGTAGGTCAACGACGTGTATATTCTACGTTACTCATTGATTGTCATATGCCATTCCATCACCAATATATTCAATTATGATCAGGAACGTAGCAAGTGGAAGTGCGTATTCTGTACCTCAAGATTTCATTGTCATCGTCATAGTCAACCGATTATAATCTGAACCTTCTTTAAAAAGCAGGTTTCGTTCACCGTCAGTGAGATTTATTGATGTAGCTTAGAGATAACGTCATAGGTACGCGCCGTTACATAGGGATACGAACCGCAGACCTCTCAATTAATAAGCAACAGTTCTCCCACTGAGCTACCACCGATATTAACATACGAGTACGTTATTTGATATAATTTCGTAAACGATTTATTCAATTTCACCGTTAAATTCAGCAGTTTTAATTTCCACGATATTGTCAATTTGCAGACATTTTACAGACGCTAACACACTGTCAAAACTCTGTTTTGGTGATGTTAACAGTCACAGTGATCTAACTTATTTGTATAATATCAAGTGACGGAACGAACAAGTCGTGCGCCTGATGGTAAGCTACATGCCTGTCCACAACAGTTGCAGTGCCACTCAGAGCTTTAAATCGCAAAAATCTGAGGGGCACTGCCGCTGCGCCCGTTACTCTGAGACATAAGTTGACAAGTCCCATGTGTCTGTAATTTCACCAAAACGCTTTGCGCTGACAAAACCAAAATCGAACTGAATGACTATTGTTTCACATAATCCGGTCATGTCAATCCCAACTGAACCCGAATAATGATTTCCAGAAGGTCGAACGAGTTGCTATATTTTTCAGAATAACCTTGGATATAATTGGCGATCTTGCAAACAGTTTCCCCGTAGAACCAGACGAGGGTGATGGCCTTGCTGAGTTGTATGGGCATGCAGATGCCCGTCACCAATAAATCTGCCGCTGACAGGTTCACCAGAAAAATGTTCGTCACACTGAAACAAAACAAAGAAAAGTTTAGATTTGTTTTGCACATTGCACTTTATTTTATATTGAGAAACAAAATCATGTCCAAGGACCAACAATAGATCCGACATAGCTACTCTACCGCAAAGCATCACAACATGACGACACATAGACAGAGTTCGTAAATATTTAATTATCATGTTTTTAATGACAAATAAATTTATTGAACTTTATTTTTATAATTTTCAGTACTTAATATTTTAAAAAGGAAATCCTAATAACCCCAAATTCGAATAGAATGAAAAGGTGGCTCACCCAATCGAATACTGAACGCTGACTCACAACAAAACGAAGCATTAATCTTAGCAAATGGATTCGTGAGTTTTACGGTCTGCGGCTTACTACTTGCGCTAATCAATTTCCCTAGTATTGAATTTAGTTGCTTGAATATAAAATTGAAATTCATAAATAAATTTTAAGAGTCCCTAATACACTAAAAATAATCAATAGGTATGTGTATATCTCGTAAAATGTACTTGTAGGCTATCCTTGAAACCTAAAAAACAATCGTCTACAATGAGAGCTAAAGCACTGTTATTTACATAATATGTATATATATTTCATTCCATGCTGGTCTGCCACGCAGAGGTTCTGGATTCGATTCCCGGGCCGGGAGAAATATTTGTAAGTCCTACATTTATTCGTGAGTTTGGGTGTAATTTGTGGTTGTCTATGTGTGTATCTATGGCACCCGCGACCTAGAGATCGCTGTGCGGGTCTATGACTGTGCGCATTATTTATTTATTTATTGAACTTCGTAATTTTAAAAAATGCATCAAATTTCACATAACATCAATTATAAATGTTGGTCCTGTAAATGTTTCTTTTTACCTTATTTATGCCCGTTTCTTTTTACCTACTTCACACGTCAGAAGCGCGTCACTTTTGAGCCACTCTGTTTTACATAATGTTATAATCAAACGCTTTAAGTCGGAGTTCGGAGTGCGCCGCTGCGTCTGGTCGTTGCGACTCGGATCGGTTTCTGAAAGTGACGATTCTGCTTAGTATTTGTATTATATACGTTTTTTATTGCATAATATTCTTTGAAAGATGATGGCAAAATATTCAATCAATCACATCAAACATGATTACATTAATTACTTAAAATTGTTGTTGCAATAATTTTATTTGGCAAATTCAAATGGAAACAAATTTCATTATAATCTTAAATAACACCTTGTTTATTTCCATCTTTTTTTTTAACCGACTTCAAAAAAGGAGTACTCTCCGGTATTTGTAAACTGATTTTGATGATTATTTTTTTGTTGGAAAGGGGGTACTTCCATAGTGGTCCCATTTCATTTTGAAGAAAATCATCCACCTCGAAGGGTGGCTGTTCACGCATGAAGTTTCATTTTCATAAATAGCGCCTAACATTAATTTAGGAGCAATTACTTTAATGGTTGATTTTGCTATTTCTCCAATTCAAGGCGTTTTTCTCTTAATATTTTTTTACTCTCTCTCTCTCACTCTTCTACTCTCACGATTTTTATTATCTCCAGTGTCAAGTCCTGTATAGTGGCGAACTAGGGGCTATTTCAATAAAACTTAGCAAATAGACGTAATTCCACGCACTTTTGAGGTCGGTTTTTTTAGTACTCTGTACTGAGATTGTTCAGTGTTAATTCGACTTTTGACACAGACACGTTTTGACACTGAAATAACACAATGTGTTTCATTCGTATTTTTTAGAGACTCGACAGCTCTTGATTTAGATGTATAAAAATGCTTATGGATTATGATTTCACGCGTTGCGTCGATGTAAACGTGCCCTAATAGAGATTTTAAAATCTTCCCACTTCTCATCTCTATTGATACCTAGATAAAAGTTTTTTATCCTTATTACAGATTTTAATGACATTATCGGCATGGGAGCCAGAGTCTCGCGACATATACATATATACGAGACTCGAAAGCGTGTCACATTTTTTCCTATCCCTCGGGCATCTCTCCCCGAAAGCGAATATCGTCGAAATCTTATTTGCATTGCCCTTGTGTACAGTCGTAGGAGTGCTAAGCTCGTCTTACGCAATCGTTGGGTAATCAATATTGTTTACACAAGGTGTATTAAGGTTGTGCGAAAATAAATAAATAATTGTCTTTTTATTCTTTTGTATACAAAACCTTACTTTTCTTCTACAACTTTTGGTATATCACAAATATTTTATTTGAACGTTATGATAGCGAGGTTAAAATTATAGGGATAGATAAAAATTAGTTACTTTTTCGTTATGTATTCTGTAATTCTGGTATTTCCCGGTTCCAAACCCAGCACTTTGAGCTGGTACAGAGAAGATAAACCCAAGTGCACTATAACAATAAGGGTTAGTTTGGATTCAAATTTCAAGTCTCTAAAAAAATATGTTTCTTTTTGTTTAAATAGATTTATATGGAAATGTTACCACAGATTGGTATGATTGAAAGCTCAACCATGAATCAAACATCTGGACGTAACTGCACTTTCAATTAAATTATCAACTTTAATTGATATTAAAGTTCAAAGTTTGTTGACTTAAATCCTATAAACTCACTCAATACGAAAACAAAGGCAATCCTAGGCAAACGGGCGTTGGCTCAGTTTTGATTGCTATATAGATATTATACATAACGTCTCTGTTGTTGTCCTGAATAATGTTTACGTTTTAATGTATATGTTTCGTTTACTTTTTACAAAGTTAGCAATTACTTTATTTATTTATAATATTTATTTCAGAACAACATTAAGCAAAGAGGTGGAGTGTTTCTGAGGCGTGTGGGTAGTTGATGTGAGATGTAGTATTATATGTATTTCTATCGTTTAGAAAGATTCCAAAATCCAACTTGAGGGTGGTGACAGCCCAGTGGAAGAACGCTTGGCTATTAATGGAAGATCCACAATTCGAATCCCTGTAGCGGCACATACTTATGACAAATGTCTAATTTATGCACATTTGTTAACGTTTAGTGATAACATGCACCAATAACTCTTAAGTATTTCTATTCGCGATACAAGACAGCGTAGTTACCCAACTAGTTTAGTAACTCTTGGTACACCAGACGCCGTCTATTTAGCGTAATTAGCTATTTTGCTAATTATTTTTTTTTACATTGACAAGCTGCAATATGTCATAGTTTACACTAATTTCTAGTGATAAGGAACAAATCAGTTAGATGGTGTCTATGGATAGTGCTGGATATTCTTTTATTTTGTTTAGGATTAGCGCCATCTACCCATATTAGTAAGCGTTAATTTAAACATTAGTTTATAACACAACGCCATCTGTTGACACGCTTTTTTGTCAAAGCACAGAAAATTATTTCAGCTCATGATTAGGTAATATTTGAATAATGTTATAAGGAAAAAACCTAACTTCTTATATTGCATATAAAATAGGAATTACTTGATATCCCCGGCCATTCACATAATAAATAGTACTTCCAGGCTACTGATCAGACCTATCTATTTAGATCACGTAATTTTGACTTCTTACAGAGTTACGGTCTGTACTATGGAGATTAACAGTAAGTCCCCTTGAGTTATTAGTCCATGGCCATAGCAATACTTTTAATACTTTTTGCTAGCGATCACATCCCGCGAAAATAACATATCGTTTCGCAAATTAGAAAAGCATTCAGTTTAAATACAAGTTTTTATAAATAAAAATTATTATTCTGCATTGCAAAATAGTTACCCTCCGTACTACCAACAAAAACATCTCAAATAAAATGCAGTAATACACCGCAAATCCTGCACTTAAAAAGCACTAATGACATTTTTGGTGTACTTGGATAAATATGATAATATTCCGTTTGAGTGGTTCTAACGTTTACCATGAAATTACTCCTTAAAGTATAGTTTATAAACATTTATATTCAGGGTAAACTTAAAAAACGCTACTTACGGTATGTTTTCGATAAATAAACGTCGAAATCACCAGCGCAAACTATAACACACACGATTGTAGTGACGTATTTTTGAAGTTGTTTATTTTATTTTAAATGACAGATCCAGGCATTAAAAACTTTATGGTTTGCTAGAGTAGTTATCGAAATAGCAATTAATATTAGTTCTTTTACCTGTTATAACTTCGATATCCGATAAATCGGTATAAAATCATCACCTGCATGTATCGCGTGAGCGGATATTGAACCCTGCATGTCGAATAAGATTCACAACCTTTGGAAAACGTATCCTCGCATGGGGCCAGTGTGTCGGACTTTAACCTAAACCTTCTTCTTAAGGAATATAGTGAATATTTACTTATATTTTTGTTGACAGGATGATGGCGGCGTGTCGTTGTCCTTACGCGGGCATGCACCAAACGTTATTTTATAGTTAATAAAAAGTAAACCGTGCACAATAATGGCGAATTCGAACCATTAAAAGAACATTAGTGCATTTTTATTTCATCGTAAAACGTTTTTGATCTTAAGGATATTTAGACGGTGTTTGTATTGTGACAAGAAGGAAACAGAATAGTAAACCTTTTTGAATAGTTTTTACTGAGATGTAACACAAAATAGTAAAGTATCAAGCGTCAAAGCGATGCAAAGGGTTAATACACTAATTATTGTCAGAATGTACAACGTACATTGACCACAAATGTAAGTGATCCCTTGTGAAGTGTGCAAAAGATGTGCAGACACCCGAGCTTTAATGAGGGTGTCTATTACTCCGAGAGTTTATATTAGCTTTTAGCCTTTAGGTGAAAATTTTACTTTTCACTTCGATTTCGAGAAAAGGAAATTATTTGTTTCGATCGGTTACGGTTTACAACAAAATCACGAACAAAACTTTTGAAGTTTTCGCGGTTTTTTTTTCCAACCAGACGCAGATACAAACGCAACAAAATGCTACGATTATCGGTTTTGGCAATCATGAGCGTCTTTCGAACGATTTAAGTGCTACGTCGCGTCACTGAAATGGTCCGTACATAAACACACTAACGCGGGAAAAATAATACGGCGCCACTCTCCATGTGGAACAGGC